AGAATGCACATATTTGTCAACAAATTGAAAAATATTTAGTGTCTTTTTCAGTGCTTTCGTAGATTTGAAAGCTGAAGTTATTACTAGGATTGATGAAATGATGAAGGTGAGTTCAATTGAGATATTTGGACTGACATATCAACATTCCACGATCAAAATTCCCTCTCATTCGATTTCCAGGATCATTGGTACGAAATTTTCTTGAGGAAACAATGAATTGTTATTGATACCAACCACCAAGGTGAAAATTGAATCAAGTTGAATTGGATGTCAGTCAAAATTCTACCTTATTTCATGACAACAATCCTGGAACATAACTAAATAACTACAGCAAGAAGGTCATGATCACCCACCAAGATCAGCAAAGTTCCCTAGCCATGATCATGAAATTGCCCTACTCCTATTATCAGATGCACCAACTTCAGAAAAATCGTCTGATAGCAATATACAGATGCACTCACTAATGGCAGCAGGGTTCTATATCTAATGAATGCAGGTGGGTTGTAATCAACAAAGTCGACTTCATAATCACAGGTGATAACTAGTTTGTCGCACAGGCTATAAGAGTTCCTTGCTAGGATAATTCGATTATTATTTCTATGGTTAATGAAAATTTGCCTTGGCTCACTGAAATTTTCAAACGTAGTGACATTGTGAGCCTAATCACCTGATTTGTCCTTACTACACCTAGTATTTCGAAATGAAACTCATTTACTGATTTTCAATAGAAACGAGGAGAGGAAATCCCCAAAAATCTGAAAAATCAATACTTACTCTTCACTCACTATTCTTCACTGGGTGTAAGAAAACAATAACATTTCGGAAATAAGAAAATATTTCTATCAGTTCACATTATAAAACAATATTTCATCATTTACTCACTAGTCTTTCGAAATCTTAATACAATACAAACATTGACTCATATATACATTTATCAATAGTATGACGATATCTTCAATTACACTGTTATGATTGATTCATTTTCAGTATGTGATATCAGTCATACAAAGTTGAAGGGTCCAATATCTTCACATTTCTCAATTATTATGGAACCATTTCACGAGCATCATAAGGAACATTACACATTATTATGATGCAGATGACTTGGCTGATGAAGAACTGGAACCATATAACTGTATACAGGGTGATCAACTCTGTTGTCTTGAGAGATACGAAGAAAAGTACAAAATCAAAATTGAAGTGATAAGCGAGGTCCACATTTCGTTTGTTTTTTTTTCGCGATAACATTACCTCGTTAGTCCCAGCACTGGGACCAAACGCCCCATAAGTCGAAACTTGTGCAGGGTTAGGTAAGTATACGAACACAAACATCCATGGCCTAACTAGGATTCAAACCTATGTCTCGGTGGGAGTCCCCATACGAACTCAGCGCATTCACGCTCTTGACCACCGATACAGGGTGTTTCATAGGGTCACAGCATATCAAAGTTATGTTTTTTTCAATGGAACACCCTATATATTATCTTGAATTTGAATTATTCTCATTTTCCTCATTCTGGCAATATAGGGTTTCACTAGAGTACTTTCGGAGCTATGGCGACTTTTATGTAAAAATCTCAACGAAATCCTCGCCCTAAAAAGTGAGGGTTTGACTTTTATTGTCACAATGATTCGATAATGGTCTAGTTTCGTTTCAACCCATCACGGTTTTAATACCTCTCATTTTGTACACTGTGAAGCAAAACTATTATTATTTTATTATATGGTATTTTATGGTATTTTTGAAGAGTACTCACAAGACACTTCTACTCTTGTCGAACATTCAATTAATTTGATTTTCAAGAATAAAATCGACATTTTCGGAAAATGTAAGTCTGTTAGAGTAGGCACACACATACACCAAGAATAAGATTTTAGTTCCGTATAATCACAGATGTTCTTATCAAACAATAATATTACTAACGACAAAAAACCGAATATAAAAATCAAAATAACGAACAACTGAGGGTTCGGCTCTCATTGTCGAAAGGATTTGATAATGGTCTAGTTTCGTTTCAACCCATCACGTTTTTAATATCTCTCATTATGAACACAGGGTGAAGCAAAACTAGTGCCGATGATTTTCTCAGTTATCTCAAATGGAATTTTCAAAAAGTACTCACAAAATACTTCTACTTTTGTTGAGCATTCCCTATACCTAAATGTTACTGTTATCGAATTATTTTGATTTTTGAGAATGAAATCGACAAGTTTGGCGAAAACTGTACTGTAACAGTTGGTCATGATTGACAAAAGAAAGTTTTGTTATGTCTGTCATCGTACTGTCAATCAATAAGTCGAGTTTTGAATCGAGTTAGTTCCTATAGTTATTAATGCATAACATTTCATTCGGCGAATGATGAATTTGTCTAATGATGAATTAGTCAATATGGTTCCTGGGAGAATGTCATAAAAATAGCTTGCTAGCAGTAAAGGTGTATCATGAAAGATTTCTAGATCGCCGTTTACCTAAAAGAAGAGATTTTGAGAAAGTAATGGATCGATTTAATCGAACTGGTACTGTAGCATATGAAAAAAAGTAAAAAAAGAAAACCGTTATCACCTTGGAAAATGAACAAAAATGTATTACTAGCAGTTACGGATAATTCAAATACAAGTAAGTATACGAGAAATTTACAGAGAACAAGAAATAAGCTATGGAAGTGTACCAAAGATTCTGTCAAACAACTAAATGCACCCGTATAACATTCAGTTACACCAGGAACTACTCGATGATGATTTTAGGCGAAGAACGAATTTTTGGGCACAAAGGAATATTTGTTATCAAAGAGGTTGTTTGAATCGCCATAATTTTCACTACTATTCAAGAGAAAATCCTTATGTGATAGTTACAACGTCTCAAACAAGATGAACATTGAATGTTTGGGGTGGTATTGTTGGAGATTTTGTGATTGGCCCATACTTTTTTGGGGAAACAGTAAACAGTGAAGTATATTTACACTTCCTGGAGAATCAGTTGCCAGTACTTCTTGAGAATGTTCCTCTTGGAATACGACAGCAAATGTGGTACCTCCACGACAAGGCTCCAATACATCATAATGCGTTAGTTCATGGTCAACAAGATGATCAATTTCCAGAGCGATGGATAGGTAGAGGAGGTCCAATTCAGTGGCCAGCTGGATCGCTAGATCTAACAAAAGTTGACTTTTTTCTATAGGGGCATGTGAAAAATGAGGTATACAAAATACCAGTCACTACGAGAGAGGACATACAAAATAGAATCACTGTTGCTTTCCAAAACATTACCATTCAAAGGGCTAGAAAGTGTGGTTATATCATTCGAAAATAGAATACAACACTGTTTGAATGTAATGGGAGGTCACTCTGAGCAATTTTTATAGTTATTTTGATTTTTAGATTCGGTTTTTTGTCGTTAGTTATATAATTGTTTATTAAGAAAATCTATGATTATGTGGAACTAAAATCTTATTTTTGGTGTATGTGTGTGTTTGTGCATTGCTTGGAAACAAGCAGACATGACCTACTCTAACAGACTTACATGCCAAAAATGTCGATTTTATCCTTGAAAATCAAATTAATTCGATAACAGTAACATTTAGGTATAGAAAATGCTCGACAAACGTAAAAGTGTCTTGTGAGTACTCTTCAAAAATGCCATGAAATACAGGGTGTTTCATTTGAAATAACTGAGAAAATCATCGGCACTAGTTTTGCTTCACCCTGTGTACAAAATGAGAGGTATTAAAAACGTGATGGGTTGAATCGAAACTAGACCATTATCGAATCCTTTCGACAATAAAGGCCAAACTCTCAGTTCTTCGTTCTCATTAATACAGGGCGACGATTTCGTTGAGATTTTTACATAAAAGTGGCAATAGCTCCGAAAGTACTTTGTAGAATCTGGTAAAACTCTATATTGCCAGAATGGTGAAAATAAGTAGAATTCGAATTCAAGATGATATATAGGGTGTTTCATCGAAAAAAACATAACTTTGATATGCTGTGACCTTTTGAAACACCCTGTATAGTTCAACATAAAATTGAAATGTGGAGCTCGCTTATCACTTCAATTTTGATATTGAATTTTCTTTCGAATCTCTAGATCAAGAATAGAGGTATCGAAGTCCGGAGTATGAGTTGATCACCCTGTATAGTTATCTGGATAGAGCAAGATCAATGTATGATATTACGCCATGTTCATTCAAAGAAGTAGGCAGCTGTTCATCAAACTACATCATTGTGTTGTTTTTTCTTAGATATGTGAAACATCTAGCAAAGTATCAACAATTCTTTAATGTCGACATTCAGCATATCAAGCCCCATTTCGTAAGAATTCGTACAAAATACGTTCATGAATGAAAGTATCTCACAAATTCCTAAGGGTTCATGAGAAATATGTTTGCATATTCAGTATGTGTAGTTTTTCGAATCGATCATCAGTTTTTTGAGGTGAACGTCGACTTTTCTCGACAATTGCAAAGACATGTTCTTCTGCTACTACTTCAAGTAGGTATCCATATAGGAAATGAAAAATCATTTTATCCAATGGGAAAAAGAAACTACAAGTAGCGAGGAATTCTCAAATTGATTATCATATCCCGAAATAGATAATTATATTCATAGACATATTTGCTCGAGCTTGACACTTGTCTGCAATATTTGCCTGAATTTTGTTTGTGATGATCATGCGATAATGTTGGGAAAAAGTGCATGAGGAGGAGGAACATGGATACAAATATAACAATCAACATTCACGAAACAACTATCACTCCTAAGATTCATCATTCCTTGGTAGGAATGTCAACCTCCTCACATCAGCTGAAATGTCTTCACAAAATCCTTACACATATTATATCTGAGACAAATATTCGAGCAAACTCACTCCAGTACAAAGTTGAATAGTTAGGGCGCTAGACGACCCTGGAGGTACAACCCTCGGATAATTTGTGTTCCACATAGACCTATTAGAAACCCTATGCATGTTTACGAGGATATATCTATGCCTATAGTCACAATTCTCACGTTTTATTGAATTTGCATTCCTTTTCGTGCTCTGAAAGCCATTCAACTTTCCCAGTAGATTCACATCCGTTCCTAGTATACGTGCAGGCAAGTAGAACTTCACCAGCTAAATTCTGTAATGCAAAGTTTCTTGAATCATTGAATGGTTCTTGGCAGAAAGAACACTTCTCCAATTTTATTTTACACTCCTGACATACTGAGTGTCCTGTTTTGCAGTTATATATGGATCCCAACATATACTCCATACATATTGGACATTGTAGATGAGATCTCAAAATATCGGATAATGTGTCTGAATTTGTACACTTTGAACTAACATCATTGGGTGATTGTGTTATTATGTCTAGTTTGCTATTCATTCCACTGATTTCTATACTGAGTTTCACCCCACGAATATCACCAAGTAGACGTCCAATTTCGGCTAATCTCATAGTCTTCCACTTTATGTTCATTGGAATATCTCCGTATACCTTTGAATGTCGATGATGAACGAGCGAACATGTTTTGTTGATGCAATGGAAACAATGAAATTTTTCTTCGTATTTGGTTATCTGATGATTCTCAAAGAGAAGGCAGTGATCATTACTAGTTGCATTGATGTTGGATAGTTTCAAGTTATAGTTGTAACTTTTTTCATTTTTGTTCAACGAAGCAACATATATGAGTAGTGTGTGTTGTAATCTATGGAAAAATAAAAGAAATGGTTGATTCTGGCATATCAAGACATAAGAAAGTTTATCGCTCAACGATGAAAGTTCAGCATCAAAAATTTCGTAATATATTTTTGAAGAATGATCAATTTTCATATGTTCTTCCAAATTCCGCAAACGTATAACTCCTGTTTCGCATAGCGGTAAGGTGTGAATTGGACAGGTGATTGAACTCTCAACACATTCTTCCTCATGGGTTTTCACTTCATTCCAGGCGATCTTTTTATTGCATCCCTCGTTGATGCAAGGAAATGATAGTAGCTTGGCCATATCCTCGTAGATAACATTTCTACCCATCGATCTATTGGGGACCATTTCACATCTTCCACATTTTGATCGTGTTCCATCTTCGGAAAGCATCATTATAGGAGGTACTGATAAAGTTTTCTTGCACAGTGCACATTTGTATTCCGATACTTTACTCTCCAGGTTGTCGCACGTTGAGTTCGAGCCACCCATTTCAATCTGGAAAATGGATAGCCGTATCAATATATCAGTTCAGGTTGATATCATGAACAATCAAACATTTATAAAAAAAAATCTTTCTGTTGAGAGGATGTCTGAGTGCTCAATTCCATAATGTATTTCAGCTGAAATATCATTCAAATTCAAACCAGTTTCAAATACACATTCCGATTGATCATTCATGTAGATATATAATATATACACTCCCCAAATTATATTATGAGTTTCATTGTTAGCAACAGGAAGTGCTTACAGCCTATTTCAAAATGCCTTTTCGAAACTATTATACTCAAATAATATCATTAAACCAATAAAACAACCTTCTCAAAACATGAAGAGCCCGCACCTTTATGAAAGCTGTCACAGCTTCTCTTAAAGCTTGTTTTGAAACTGAAACGAATTTATTGTCAAGCAATGATAAAACCTATCAAAACTGCTTCCTTTCAAGCCTTTCAGCACGAGTTCAAACCTATATGCTTTGAAGCGACAGTTCTTAACATGTCAAAATGGAGTGAAAGAAATAAATAGTTATAAAAGAGAGTGAACATGGCGGAATGATATGATAATTTCCTACTGTATCAAATAATATTTTTTGTGAAGATTGATGCTTTCAAATGAAAACGATGAAGACTTTTTCGACAAAAACATACCAGATTTGCTTAAAAAAAAGCAGCGCCCTAGAAATTCAACAACTTTTCAAGGAAGTTAACGAAACTGTATGAATGTTTTCTCAATATGGGTGAGTAGTTTGAAAAATGTGGAAAGACAACATTTTCGACGGCCGTATCAATAAATCTCATTTCCACTACTGCTATGAGAGGTGGCGCATTTCTCATAGCTTACTTAGTTTCGAAACCATCTATTGCTCATACTGTGAAAAATATTTTTTCTCGTGGCACTTTGCCAACACCACATACATTTCCATGGAGAATCAACCAGAAATCGACTTTCTTAATTTGCTGCTGTTCAGCTCTGAAAAATTGTCACAACTGTCAAGAAATTTTTCAAATTCTTTAGGGTAGTTTCATTAGTGATCTTGATAGAAATCGCAGTTTCCATCGAATATCATTTCAACAATTCATAATAAATGATATGATGTACAGGGTGGCCGAAATTGGGCGTTTTCATCGGCTATCTCAGTAACTGAAGGATTTATCAAGAATTCGATATACATGTTACGGGTTCAATTTCAGAGGAACCTCGAAGAGTATAATTCGAATTTTCATATCTTCATTCGTTCCAGAGATACAGGGGAAAATTGAAAAATTGCCGATTTTGTTTTTATTATCATAGTACTTTATGAAGAGAGATATTGAAAAATTTCGAATTTTTATCCATATAGAATGATGCGTAGAATCAATTGACTTCATCAGAAATTGTATACAGGGTGACATCAAGAAGATACGGCAGTCAATTTTTTTTTTCTAATGGAACACCCCGCATATTTTAGCACAGTTGGATAGTGTAGTGCAATCAGGTCAATAATAAATATTGTTTAATAACATATTCAACCGACTCAGCATATTCATTACTGAACAGGTATAGAAGGTAATTATGTAGGACAGATTGCATATAGCTACTGTGGTGTATGGCTCACTAACTAAATGCTATTATATTGGGTGTAGAAAATGTGACGAGTTTTACTAATCTACCCTTATCCCGATTGCTACATTACATGGCGATCCTGCCATATACTCACACAGTAAAGGTATTTGAGGAGTTTGTTGGTGAAATAAGTGTGAAAATGGGAGGAAAATCATCGAAAGAAGAAGTAATCATAGCGCAGACAGCAAGTGGTGATGCTGATGCCAAGCTATCACACATCACAAGAACAGAATGGTTGCTGATTTGTTTGGTGGTATTAGGCTTCGTAGTCCTGGCCTATTTTATGATTAAGAAGTGGCAGAAAAATCTCAAGAAAATGGTTATTCATGAGGTCATCAGATGTCAGAGCAGAGACAATCTGAATGCTTCAGTTTAGTGCAAATCAGTGCAATTGGACAAATAAATAGACGACAAAGACGTGCTACAGTGTAAAGACAAAATTAAACTCAGTGGAAATGAAATGTTATAGAAGAAATGCTCCTGGTATAGAAGAAAAGTTCCTGTTATAGAAGAACATATGGTAACCGCATAGAAGAAAGAAGAGCTCCTGCTTGGCTATTTAAGTCCGAAACTATGAAGAATTCGAGGTAGTAAGAAGATATACCTTGGGTGAGCGAATTGTATTTGTCGCCACATATTTTATTATGCATTTTTGGGTTTTATCGATTACATATAGGGACAATGTTGTATGCTATTATCATTTCTTTTTGATTTTGCGGATATTTGTGCACTATATAAGCTTGGAATGATTTTTTTTCTTCATAAATGCCATCCTGGGAAGAGATCAAAACCGAACTTTCGATAAATAAAGAAAATCTATATAAAGAGTCTAAGCGAGCAATTAAAAAGAATACCCCCAAAAGTGAACATATTAGACAAGAAATTCGAGATAACCTAGTGAGATACTTTAATGAATACACTCGGATTGTCGCTATTTTCATTAATTCTTTAAATGATCAACAATAACAGTGGGTTAAAAGGAATTTCCTTATAATCAGGGATCGAGTAGTTAGGTCATTCCAAATACTAGATACTAGATATAAGGTTCCACTGTCTTCAGTTGAATCAATAGATCCATCCATCTTAGAAGACGATAGCGAGGACGAAGAAGAAATAATGCCTCTATCCGCTGTAGAATTTTTCAATTTAGCCCATAAACTAGTGCCAAACGAATTCAATGGATCTCCCGATAAATTACAATCATTTTTAGATGCATTGACCCTGCTAGAGAATAATGTGGAAAGTCAGGAAGAAAATGCTGTTGCTTACATAAAGACTCGATTGACAGGAAAAGCCCGAGATTTGATTTCTAATGAAAACACAATTTCAGATATCAGTAACGTTCTCAAAAACGGAATAAAAGGAGATAGTTCTAAATATTTATCTGCTAAATTATCAAGTTTAAAACAAAATTCAAAAGACACGAACACGTACGCCACTGAGAAAGAGTCACTGACGACTGACTTGAAAAGAGCATTCATTAGCGAAGGAGTCCCACATAGCGTAGCTGAGAATTATGCGACTGATATAGCCATTAAGACAATGAGTCGAAATGCTGCTTCCGAAAAAGCACGTTGGGTTATGGAAGCGAGTAACTATAATAATATTCAGGAAGCAATCGCAAAATTTGTAAACATCGACACCACACCCAGTACTTCCAATGTATTTTACGTTGGCGGTAACAATAATAATAATAATAGTAGAAATAGTTACCGCGGAAGAAGGGGTAACAATAATTTCGGGTATAATCGTAGTAATCATTGGCATAGAGGTAACGGTAGCAGTCGTGGAAATTGGCGTGGAAATCAAAGACGCCAATACCAAAATTTTGCCCCGACAAGGTCATCGAATTCACAAAGTTACCCAAGATATAATTCTCAGGCACGATATGTGAGGTCCTACGAATCAGAGCCAGCTCCGGAAAACCAATCGGACCCCCAACGGGTACGATTGGGGGAAATGTGAAAAATATATTTACTTTTAATTTATCACTATCCAATTTTGTTTTTCTTGAGAATGAAATGACAGGGACTGAAAATACTTATTTAGTTGACACTGGTGCTGACATATCCATTTTCAAAAGAACCAAAATCAATCCAGATCAGATGATAGACATTTCAAAACGCTATAGAATTAAGGGTATTACTGATGGTCTAACCGATTGTCTGGGATCCACAGAAACAAATATTTTTATTAACGGGTATTCTTTGAAACATACTTTTCATATTGTGGATGAAAATTTTCCTGTCCCAGCCGACGGAATTCTTGGTCGAGATTTCATCTCAAAATATGCATGTATATTGGATTATAACGATTGGAGTCTAACAGTACGCTTAGGTCATGGAAAAACTACTGTTCCGATTCATAATAGTCCAGAAGACGATACTATTGTAATACCATCTCGTTGTGAAGTTATACGGAAAATAAAATTAATAGACATTTCGAAAGATACATTAATAATGAATCAGGAAATAAAGTCTGGAATTTTCGTCGCAAGATGTATAGTTTCCAGTGAAAATCAATTCGTAAAAATAATTAATACAACAGCAAAAAATGTTATCTTGAAAAATATACGTTACGAAACCGCAGACCTAAATGATTTCGACATTTTCAATATAGAAATAGAGAAAACCGATAGGCAAGCTATTTTAATGAAACAATTAAACATGAGAGTACCGGAATTCGTAAAAGGCGATCTGTATAATTTATGTAGTGAATTTGCTGATGTTTTCGCTTTGAAATCGGATAAACTTACGGTTAATAACTTTTATAAACAAAAATTGAAATTGCGAGACAACAGTCCTGTTTACACTAAAAATTATCGTACACCTGCACTTCAAAAAGAAGAGATTAGTAGACAAGTGAATGAAATGTTAGAAAATGAGGTTATAGAACCCTCAACATCAAACTATAATAGTCCGGTGTTGCTAGTACCTAAAAAGGCTACTGATGGTCAAAAGAAATGGCGTTTGGTTATCGATTTTCGACAGCTCAACAAAAAACTAATCGCAGATAAGTTTCCTTTGCCAAGAATTGACGATATTTTAGATCAACTCGGTAGGACGAAATGGTTTTCGGTTCTTGACCTAATTTCTGGTTTTCATCAAATCCCACTAGATAATGAATCAAGAGATCTCACCTCCTTCAGTGTAGACTCAGGTTCTTATCGATTCACCAGACTACCTTTCGGGCTTTCGGTCAGCCCAAATAGCTTCATGCGAATGATGTCGATAGCTTTCGCAGGGATAACACCAGAAAAAGCATTTTTGTACATGGACGACCTAATTGTTTTGGGTGGTTCAGAAAAACATCATCTCAATAATCTCAAGAGTGTATTTGAAACTTGCCGGAAGTTCAATTTGAAATTGAATCCTGAAAAATGCCAGTTC